AGTTTACTTTCAAGGGATCTTCAGTCTAAGCTTCCGTCAGTTGTCATCAACAGCTTTTCCTGCGCGCTCTTGCCTTAAGACGGGGTGAGGGTTGCATGGGCGCTGGCCGGCACCTCAGTCCGTGCTGAAACGGGTTTAGGGGTTTAGGGTTTAGGGCAGTCATCAATGTCTGGTCTGAGACGCCTCCCCCATACCAAAAGACAGACAAAGAAAAATGCTGAGATCTGTCGTCGGCTGGCATTGTGTTGAGGGTGAGGCTTACGCTGACACCATGCGGAGGATGAGGTCCAGAGTTCAATCTGGACTCCGCCACTCGCCGCTGCCAGAGTGGTCGGGAGCATACCGCACCACACAACACAGTTTCTGGGCGCGTCTAAACCCTAAACCCTAAACCCTAAACAGAATGCTTGGCAATTTTTGTTACGAGCTGGGACCCAACTTCATCACAAATCCTCTGAAGAGGTGGGGCAATGAACAGAGAAGGAAGTCGCAGTTGTAGGGTTTAGGGTTTAGGGTTTAGGGTTTAGGGTTTAGGGTTCATGTCTTCCTTCAGCAAACGGCTTGTAATATGATGTCGCAGATTCGCCAAGGAATGGTATTCTCTGAACCGAACGGCCAAAATGCAAAGTGCAAAGCTTACCCTAACAAACCCAAAACGCAATGAGTGGCTGATGATGGCATAATATTGTAGTATAATTCGAATAAGGAACCCCAAAACTACCGATTAAAACCCTATTCTAATTGTTTTGGCCCCTACATTAGGGTGTGTAGACACGGTTTGGGGTTTAGGCCGGCCTGTGCGTCGCCCGCAGTTCAGGCAGAATCTTGAGTTGATTGGAGCGGGACCGGCCGAGCTGATACAGGCCGCAGAGGCTTTAATTAGGTTGCCGTGCCTTTGGTGATTTCATTTTCACTCAAGTATATAATCCCTAGTACCTAGAACAGTTTTTGGGGACCTTTGAGATTGGCAACACTTACAAGGGTTCAGGGGCTGAAGGGAGATGCAAAAAAAGGGTACGAATTCGAGATGAAGGTTCAAGACGTTTAAGATTTGGAACATCCGGCCTAGAAAAGTACCCAGGCGATCTCGTGCAGATGCCGTGGAAAAAGAAGGCCCAAACAATTTTGACAAATTCTTTGGCAAGAGTTAGGCAGATCTTAAGCATACCAAAGTTTCGTAACTAGACGGGACTGCACGCACACCCAGAGTGTCAGTTTCGAAATTGCATTTCCGCCTGGTTCATCAGGGCTCTTACAAAAGCCTATCAGCTTCATTGGCTCAGGCCTACCACGACATCCTAAAGCCCGAACCTAAGCGCTATAAGCCCTAAACCTGAACCTTGAGCTCTGAACCCTAAACCCCTAAATCCTAAGCCCTAAACCCCAAACCCTTAAACCCTAAAGGAAAAAGAGAACCTTGAGCTCTGAAACGTAGTGCCGAATCCTTGCAGCCCCCATACTGGATGGCTTAGAAGCCAGAAAGTTGGAACATCATTATCGTCATGCCCTAAAGGTAGAGTAGAGGGAATCCCAGCAATAATCGTCCTAGATCCATGTTCCAACTTTCTGGGGTTCACTAAAGATTTGGATGACCTGAAAGTCCACGTAGTGTGCAGGAGCTTTCAAGCAACAAGCCCTGAGCCCTAAACGCAAACACCGCGAAGTAGTTTAAGACTTTTGGAGTACATTGGCTTTTGCCAGGTCTCTTCTGTGCACATAGTTGGGGTTTTGAGTATAGGTTTGCGGCAACTTTGCAGCCTTTCCTGATGAATGCCGGCATATTGCCATGGCCACTGCGCACTGCCAACATCACAGTATATCATACTCACTCGAATCATACCAATGCTGTATTTAGCCCACGTTTCGGTGCTTGAGAGCGAACCTTATTATTATCTGGAGCTACAACTCTCATGTTATGATTGCACGGGGCTTTGTAATAATTGACTTATATTGGCTTAGTTCTGTATTTGCGGGAGGAGATAGGGGTCGAAGTTGTTTGAACGAGATGGCGAAACATTGGCATCCATTTGTACTGAGCCTAATTATGCTCGAACGAGATTCTCAATTCCGGACACGATATGGGAAACAAGGCTTAGCGACACATGGAGCTTTTGGTAGTTTCGTTGGCAAGCCGCTATTGGTTGCTGTGCGGATCCAAACATGAATGGCCATGCAGCGATCCCAACCCCTCTAAACCCTAAACCTCTCTCGGGTTGCACGTTTGGGGTCACAAACCTTGCAAGGCTTCCATGAGTGCCCAAATCCTGCCCTGAACCTTGATACCCATAGGCCCCATAGTACTTCCTTTTTGGGGTTCATATTTAGAACCCTACAAGGTAATCCCAAAAAGGAACTATTATGGGGCCTACGGGTAGAACCCTAGAGTCGCATGGCAGGCAGGCTTCTCCGCACGGCAGCTCAAAGAGGTCCTTGGCAGAACCGATCGGTTTTCTAAGCAGAACTTCTCGGGCTTAGGGCTTACGGGGTTTTAGGGTTTGTGGGGTTTTAGGGTTTATAAGGCTTATGGGGTTTTAGGGTTTAGGGCTGGCGTAGGTTCCAGGGTTTGGGGACCGGCTGAGCTCTGGAAGCTCCCTTTACCGGAAGGTAGTGGTGGGGTTGGGCAGGAGGGCTTGTGGCCTAAACCCTAAACTAAACCCTAAACCCTAAACCCTAAACCCTAAACCCTAAACCCTAAAGCAAAGGTCGGAGGATGGAGTTCGAGAGCTGAGATCTACGCCTTACTGGTGTTGTACCCGTGTTACAACTGTCGTAATTCAACTGATCTCGAAACCCTTAACAATGCTACTGCTGTTCGTATCCTAAACCCTAAACCCTAAACCTAAAGGGTCTGAGCTATTGGCGCCACTGCAGTCTGCAGTTTGAGGCCAGGGATTGGAAGGCCGGATACCTTTGCATAATCTGACCTAGAATGAGATGAAATTGCGTTGCTACTAGTTCTTTGGTGGAGCCAAAGCTATAGTATGACGCCACGACTTGAAGCCCGAACAAGCCTTGCGAACCAACACCTCATTAGTTTAACAGGCAAGTAATGGTGGTGCTGCGCGGACTATAACAGACATGGCCACAACTGCGTCTGCAGCCACGCAGCACTGCGCTCTCGTTCTCTCTCTCTCTCTCTCTCTCTCTCTCTCTGTCTCACACATACCCGCCGCCACCATTTCTACGCCTGTTGCTACGTCTACCGACTACCACCATTGTTAATTGTGCTGATGTCACAGTTGCAAAAAAATCTTCCACGCGTGGATTCCCTTCGGGGACCATCCGATGGAACTTAAAAGAAGAGCCCTAAACCGTTAGGTGCCACTCTTGCTTGGGAGGCTGGCTTTTCCTGGAGCGCCCTGCGAGGTGCTGGGCTGACACTGCGGGAGCTGCGTCATGTCGCTAGCTATGCACTGGGCTGCATTCGGGTAGTTCTCTAGATTAGGGTCCCTTTTTAGGTTCCTGTTTTTATTAGAGTGCCGTACTATATTTGGGATCTAAAAAGGGACCCTAATTTAGAGAACTAACCATTCAGGTCTGGGACGGGGGTGGGTTTTGGGATTGCAGGCATTAGGGAGGTTGGCGTGGCATGTTAGATGTTCCCAAGACCAAAACCGTACCATGTAACGGAGTGAAGCGGCTGTCTTGCTCAGCTGGACGGAGCGAACATACGATGATGACCGATGAACATGCGACAGGATCACGAACAGGAGTTCCCATATCCTAGACATCGAAACTTTCCCAAACCATTGCTACGAAATGTGTACGGAATCTGATTCGAAGTCTGTGTGAAGGTTATCATTAGGAGTCCAAGCTGTGTTTGAGCCTGAGTGTGCTTGTCAGATTCAGTGTTGTGGAAGTTGCACCGCAGCATAGATTGAAACATGTTGAAACCATGCTTTCATTGAGAACATTCATTCTAGAAAAGCCGCATAGGATGTCAGCATGAAGCCCCAGAGCTTGCCCTGTATCCACTGTCAATACGGCTGTGAACAGAAGACCGCTTCAAAAGGATAACAAATTGATAATGATAGTAGGAGCCGACCATTTTTTCGAACGTACTTGTTTTGCAGGGGGCTTTGATAATCATGACAACGATGGGCCTTCGTGTGTCATAGAGACAGAAGGCATCACACAGGAAAGGTCATGTCGTGTGGGTCTTGTTCTATAAGCAGGAAATGTGGCGATGACGATTGGGACGGTTGCGCCTGTGATGGTGATACTGGTGAGTGATCATCAAAACAGTGGCGAAGAAACGTCGCGCGATCTGGTCAACACCAGGGTAAGACATTCAGGTTGGGCCAAGTGTGGTAGTTGCAGAAATCCGAATGAACGTAACGAGCAATCGCAAGGCAGGCTACCCGGCCGAAGACTTCCTATCCGGCGCTGTGGACCTCGGGGAGCTGAGATCATTGGGCTTCAGCGCCCGAGAGCTGCGCGAGTCCTTGGGTCCAACAGCAGCTCGGGAGCTGCATGCCGCAGGCTTCACAGCCACGCAGTTGAAGCTTGCAGACTTCGACGCCTGGCAGCTGGAGGAGGACGGCTTAGGAGTGTAAAGCAAACCACATCCAGTGCTGTGGGGTTAACCGGCTTGCTGGTCCCAGAATTGTCACAATGTGTTTTAGCTGCTTAGTTATATAGTTGCATAGTTGCAGAGACCACTAATAGCCATTTCCATGATCATTCGTCGCCACCCCCACCACCACCACCACCACCACCACCACCACCACCGCCACCGCCAGTATCAAGATGACGACGACGACGCTGACCAGGATCTTCACAAGCAGCATATATATATATATACTGCAGCAGCAGCAGCAGCAGCAGCAGCAGCAGCGGCGTTATGCGGTGATCAACCAGTGAAGCCGTCAACGAGCATACACGTGACAAGTCAGACGCACTTATGTACACGCACCTACACACATGCTTCTCCGCTACATCGGTGTAGGTGAATACAGAGAGATTGTGCGAGAGAGAGAGAGGCGACAAAATACCTAAACTATCCCGATCTTCGAAGGCAGGCTGCAGCATCCCCGAAATCCTGGATGCCGGCTTCTGTGCCCAGCAAATGCGCTACACTTCCCTCTCTGCCGATGGCATGAGGGCTGCCGGCTTTGGAGCGAAAGAACTCTGGGAGGCAGCGGGGCTTCTGAAGGAGTTGGGTAATAGGTTACCACCACCACCACCACCACCACCACCACCACCACGACTACTACTACTACTACTACTACTACTACTACTACTATTACTACTACCTACTACTTATTGTTACCACCTACTACAGTACCTACTGTTACTAACTACTACTTACTACCTACTAACTACCTACTACCTACTACTACCACTACTACTACTACTACTACTACTACGACGACGACGACGACGACGACGGCGACTACTACTACTACCACCTACTACCTGCTACCTACAACCTACTACCTAGTACCTACTACTTACTTCCCACTTCCCACTGCCGACTACCGACTACCTACTACCGACTACCTACTACCTACTACCTACTACCTACTACCTACTACGACTACTACCACCACCATGACCACCCTCAACCTCCTGCTGCTGCTGCTGCAGCTGCTGCTGCTTCTGCTCCTCCTCCTCCTCCGACGACTACTACGATAAAGTGTATAACTATAGATATATATATATATATACACACAGAGATAGAAAGCAGCTTCCTTCTTCAGCACTTGGCAGGGGCTTGCCCATTCTCCTGGATCGGAGGCTGCTGTTAAGCCTTAAACCCGAAATATGGCAGGCGGGCTACAGCCGAAGGCAGCTCGAGTTTCAGTTCACAGCGGAAGAGCTGAATGCAGCAGGCATCGGAGAGCCTTGGGACTCTTCAGTTCTTTTGTATCCAACCTCAAGGGCCACAGGACACGTAAACGTAGGGGCCCTATGCCCACTTACAATGAATCCCTGTGGTATTTGAACCTTATATAATAAGCCCTTTCTGGGTTCATGTCGTCCGTAAGGAGCTATTTCGTACAGGAAGCCGAACTAGCTGAACACCCCCCCCCCCAGTTTTGGCAAGTAATTTTGCAAGCAGAGAGAGAGAGAGAGAGAGAGAAAGAGAGAGAGAGAGAGAGAGCCGTTGAGACGGATCGAACGCCCGAAACCCTAAACTTTATACTAATATACTGCGCAATGTCACCCCCGAGCCTTAGCCACAGAGATCCAGTAGCGGTCCGCCTCGAAACGGCCTTGGAATCCCTGAGCAAGCTCAAATTCCACAACCCTAGACCCTAGAATATAACCCCTAAACCCCAAAACCCCAAGACCCTAAACCCTGCCCTAGACTCCCTAGACTAACCCAAACCTCAAATTCCCAACCCTAAACCCCTATTTTCCTCAACCTTATCTTCTCAAGCAGCAACGCTTACGGTTCGGATGCAGCTTTAGGAACGAGAAGAGGAAGCAGAGCTGCGCAAAGTCGGACTGCTGGAGAACAGCAGGCGGGGAGGTGATGGCATCCCAAAGTTCTTGCGGCTTAGGGTTTGTGGTTAGGAACCCTAAACCCTAAACCTGTAGCGGATTCTGAATGAGGGATGCTCCATCAGACGGAAAAGGCGTTTAACACAAAAAGAACCCTATGAAAGATTGGGTTTGGAGTTTTAGGGTTGGGGTCTTTTCGGCTTAGGATTAGGGGAGATGAGATAGGGTTAAGGGCTCTAGGGCATGGGGTTAGGAGAGATATTATTCAGGGTTTTAGGGTTTGGGATTTTGGGGTGGGGTATCCCGCATGTGTACTTCCATTACTTAGCCTCGTCGATATAGACTTTAGACGGCTGCCAGACGCAGCAGATAGAAACAGGTACTCTGCAGCGTTGAGCTCAACCTTGACAAGTTATGCTTTCTGGGCGCTTGCTACATCCAAAACCGCGACGGCATCAATGCCCCTCAACCCTAAACCCTGAACCCTAAACCCTAAACCACCCTCAACCCTAAACCCTGAACCCTAAACCCTGCCTGAACCCGGACTGCCTTGAGCCAGTGCCCGAGTAGAAACCCGGAGCCGCAGCCTGCTACTGCTACACCCATAGGCCCCATAGTAGTTCCTTAGGGTTTAGGGTTTAGGGGTTCACCCAAAAAAGGAACTACTATGGGGCCTATGGGCAACCTCAAACCACAAAGCCCAAAAACTCATCCCCAGCCAATCCACAGCCGGATCTAAACCTTGAACCCCCAACCCTAAACTTTAAACCCCCTTCGCCCCTTACCAACCTCGCCTGTGAGCATTGTTCTCTGCCATGCGAGAGGGAAAAGACTTTAAACCCGTATAAATCCCTATAAACCCTAAATCATGAACCCCCAAATGGGAGGCCGAAAAGTCGCCCGGAGGACACCGGCCTGAGTAGTCTTAGCGCAGAGCAGGTTTCGCAAGTGGCCCTGCAGTACCCATGGGGTTAGGGCAAGGCTTGGGCTTCAGGGCGTTTGGGTTTTGCTTGCGTTTGCCTAAGACCTGTTGGGGTATGGACAATATCGGGCATCAGATACCGCGAGAGGATGCTAAAATGCAGATGAATTCACTCGAAGGTTCTTCGGGTTCGGGATGTGGGCAGTTCTCTAAATTAGGGTCCCCTTTGAGGTCCCCAAAATAGTACGGCACTCTTACAAAAAGGACCCTATAAGGGACTCTAATTCAGACAACTGCCCACGTGCAGGTTTCGCAGAATATATGAGGTGGCTCGAGAACTGGATGGTCACGAGAGGGTGGAGAGAATTCCAATGGCCCTACCCATAGGCCCCATAGTAGTTCCTTGTTGGGGTTCATATTTAGAATCCTACAAGGTAACCCCAAAAAGGAACTACTATGGGGCGGCTCTACGTGGGTAGTTCTCTAAACTAGGGTCCCTTTTAGGGGGTCCTTTTTATAAGGGTGCCGTACTATAATGGGGACCTAAAAGGAGACCCTAATTTAGAGAACTACCCACGTTCTACCCATAGGCCCCATAGCAGTTCCTTTTTGGGATTACCTGATAGGATTCTAAATATGGACCCCAAAAAGGAACTACTATGGGGCCTATGGGTACATTCAAGGTCAGTGAAGTCATGCGTCTCACCCGAGCAAGGAGCTTGAACGGGGAAGGGAAAATCAGCTCCGACCATTTGATCCGTGCAGTCTCAGTGCGGGGTTTAGGGTTTAGGAGTTTCGGGTTTAGGGTTTAGGGTGGTGCTGATGTCCAGTCTTGGCCTTCGTTGCATATGTGAGATGTATACGTGTTCAGGATTGTAGCGAGCGTGCATTTTACCTTTTCTGACTGCTGCTCCTTGCTGTTGGTACACTAGTACAGTACATTGGCACCAGCAGCAGAGTCTCGGCTGAGTGTAGGGTTTAGACAGGGGTCTCATCATAGCCATTCGTCTGCATGTCACACTGTTTAGAAAGCACGGCCGGAGGCACCATGAAAACTACAGGTAATCACCCTCCCCTTTCAAGTCTCATACTCGAGCACGGAATCCTTCTCCCCCTCGAATACGGGACCAGTCTCTTAGGGCTCGCATCAGTACAGCTTGACTGCAGGGCACTGTTGACTCCACAACTTCGGTTTTCTCATTTGAGCTTTTGTGCTGCAGGGACCTTGCAGTTGTCGGTGTCGGGTTTCAACTCCGAGCCCATGTAATAAAATTACTGAAAATGAAAAGAACAGTAATATCCACAAGAACAATAACGATAACAGTAGCATGAAGAATAACAATAACACTAGCAGTACTGAGTAGTTTTCTAATGCAAATACTAATACAAATATCAATAATAGGAGTAATATCGACAATCATGTCAGGGTTTGTTCTAAGCACTTTTATCATGGTGATTAATTTGGTCATCATATTAGTGTTATAGTTGGCTCTTTTTCAGGATCGGTAGCCCTGCACCCTAAACCCCTGAGCCCTAGACCAAAAAGGTTGATTTAGCCACCATAGGCAGGCCGAGAAGCCTCGTAGTCCGAACCCTGAAGACCTTATTCATGGGTTGGGGTTTGGGGGTTCAGGGTTTGGGGGATTTGGGTTTTGAGGGTTGGGGTTTGGGGTTCGGGGTTTAGGGTTCAGGGTTTGAGGTTTAGGGTTTGGGGGTTGGGGTTTAGGCCCCGCTCCAGGCACCTTCGTACGGTGAGCGGAGTCCGTCACCATCCGAGGCCTGCACACCAAGTGTCGGCGTAGCCGGAGAGAAGCACACAGCGTATTGTATCCCAAAACACGGCGTCTACTACCACTCCCAGGTGCCATAAACATCGCAAAAGCCGACACATCAAAAGTTCTTCTGTTGGGTAGTTGGGTAGCGTCATACAAGGGGTGGCGCTGACGCAAAAGATAACGATGATGACGAAATTTGTGCCACAGGACAAAGCTCGCAGGCTACCCAAGATCTGAGTAATCGGTCTTCTCCCGAGACGGCAAGCCCATAAGCTCACAACATCCAATACGCAAACCCAGGATGCTCAGATATCGAAGCTCAAACATCAACCTTATCTTAAGACGAAGAGTTTCGTAAACGGACACTTGTCTTGTATGCTGGCATTACCCAGGTCCATTGATCACAGAAACGACTACGATGTCTAAACACTTCGGGCCCGAAGTTCAAACTAAAGCGTAAGGCCCCCCGACCCAAAAATGATGTAACCCTGCAGCCAGAGGCCCTGAGACGCCTGTTTCGGGGTTTTCAGCTGCTTGGGGAAGACCCTAAGCAAGGGCAGCGCAGCCGGAAAACCTCGCACCTCGAAGCGGGCTGGTTGTACGTTGAAGAATGCAGCTTTCGGACATCAGGACGTGCAGGGTTTTAGGTGGCAATGTCCAGCCCGAATCCGTCGTCACCAGAGAGCGAGCCTTTACCCCCGAAACGCACTGGATAACAGCAATACTCGCCTGCAGAACCCCCTCAAGGTTCTGAAGGAACTAGCAACGGCTGGATCTAGCAAAAAGCAGTCAACACCTCCATGACACTATATTGCCTTGGGAGCACCTCGTCCAGCATGACAGGTCTCCCAGAGAAGTGCGAGCGGCGATGTGCCCGAGCAGGCCACCATCGTAGATCGTGCGTTATGACGGCCGGGCGGGGGGAAAAGTTTTTTCTCGCAGTTTTCTGCAACGCTTGGGTTGAGGTAGAGGCGTTTGGCATTTACCAGCCTTGCGTTTTTTTTGCAGAGGCCAAAAAACCCGAAAGCTCTGGACTCGAGGGTTCGGGCCTTGAGGGGAGTGGTCAATATCGACTCCAAGGCCCAGCTCGGAGTCTTCACCCTTTATCCATAGGCCCCATAGTAGTTCCTTTTTGGGGTTCATATTTAGAATCCTATTAAGTAATCCCCAAAAGGAACTACTATGGGGCCTATGGGTATCGAAGGTGTCGACCAGGACCCTCCAAGTACCCTCAAATAGGGTTTATGGTCCCAAACTAAGGGTATTTAGGGTCTAATAGAGGGTAGATGGAGGGTCTAGGGAGTTTGTGCTTCTTGAGCCAAACTCACGCAATTCAGCAGGCACAGCTGCTAAGCGATTTCGTTTCATCCCTTGAACCTGGCTTATGACCGGAATGATGCCTCTAACGCCTAAGCGCTAAACCCCAAACCCAGGGGTGCGGAAGGGTTGGTACATATTGAAGATGGGCCCTTGGGTTCAAGAGTTCAGGCTGCGGGGTGTTGAGGGCTGAGGCTCGGGGCTGTAGAGTTCAGCCTTCAGGGTTCCGGGTTTAGGGTGGAAGCGTCGTCCATGACTTGGAGTGGTCCAGGCGACCTCGAATAGCGCAGTGCCCGCTGGGGAGGTGTGGGGGAGGGCGAGTTTCGGATTTCAGGGCTGCAGCGGGACCCTAAGTCCTGAACCCACTGTGAAGCCTCGGTTTCTGGAGCGTGGACCCGAAACTCTGCTTGCATTCGAAGGGGACCCCTCCAGGCAAATCTTTCCAGGAGGGTTTGGGCACTGAAATTCGAGCTTGTGGAGTTTCTGTTTGAGGGCCTTGCGCACTGCAAGCCGTTGTGGGGGGGTTTAGGTTAATGCAGTCGAAAAATGACCTCCAAATCGGCTGGCGGCTTTGGGAGAATAACTTCAACCTAAAGAATCTTAAAAGGGGTTCAACATAATTAACGGAGCTTGAGTAAACCCTGTACCACATGAAGGTTTCGGAGTTGTTCAGAGTAGTTGGGCGGAGCTTCGGTGTTTCAGCATCGTGGAACGTAGTGCTTCGTGCATCGCATCGTGACGATCCGCACAGCACCATGCAATGTGCTGGGGCCAGGCACTCAAACATGTCGCCCCAAAAAACTTATAACAGCTTGCTCAAGGCGTGCGCGCACAGAGCGACCGACCGATGACCGTCACTAATCTGTCATCTATGTCATCTCGGAAACGTGCAAAAACTGACAAAGCCCAAACCCTAAACCCTAAATCTAAAACCGCTAAACCCTGCACCAACCAAGCTGCAGCTCTAAAGCCTCCTTGCGAAAGCCGGAAGCATCAGCATGGGCATGCAAGGCCGCCACCTAGATTCACAGGGTATAGGGTCATACAAAGTTCTGATCAGCGCATAAACATATCCCTTACAGCCCTTATATAATATTATATAGGGATTTCGCAAAAAGCCCAGTCTCATGGCTTTTTCCCCTACCTCATCTCTGACCCGAGAGCCCATTACTCCTTGACGAAGAGATGTACCTGATGTTGACTAGGCTTTTATGATGATGCCAGGATATTGGAGGGCCATCATGTCATTCAGGCTGAGCGGGCTTTCTCAAGAGTCGCATGACATGTCTCGCCGGAAGTTTGTGGCCACAAACCAGCCCACTTTGTCCCTGCCCTCGTGCCGCCGGGCTCATGGCATTCCGCAGCTTGGCCATCGTCCTCCTTCTCGCCCATGCTGTTCACGCGGAGAACGTGACTGCGCGGACAGAGAATATGACAAAAGGACAGGCAAGGCTGTCAAAGTTGAAACCCTAAACCCTAAACACGAAAACCTAAACCCTAAACCCTACCGGGAGCCTCAAACCCTCAAACTGAAGCCTGATAGCTTAAACATGCCGAAAGCCCAAGACCTAAACCCGATGGCCTACTGCCTCAAGCTTAGAGCCTCTCCGCAGGTCAGCCAAGAAGGTGCATGGAGCA